GATTGCTTCTGTGGACAGGTGTCTTTTATACAGGTAACAAACTGAGATTAGGAGCACTCCCTTTAAGAGTGTGCTCCTAATCTCAGCTCGTTACCTGGATAAAAGACACCTGGGAGACAGAAATCTTTCTGATTGAGAGGGGGTCAAATACTTATTTCCCTTATTAAAATGCAAATCAATGTATAACATTTTTGACATGCGTTTTTCTGGATTTTGTTGTTGTTATTCTGTCTCTCACTGTTCAAATAAACCTACCATTAAAATGATAGACTGATCATTTCTTTGTCAGTGGGCAAACGTACAAAATCAGCAGGGGATCAAATACTTTTTTCCCTCACTGTAGGCCTGTCCAGGCAGCTAGCTAACAGCAGTACACTAATCAAGACTTACACATCTGTGCCAGTTCCATTTGTGATGATAATTTTAGATCCTACTTCTAGTTTAAAGCAACGTTTGTTTACAACAAGTGTAGCTAAAGAGTATTGTATTGTAGTGTCATAGTAACGGTTATTTACAAGTGTCGTATTTTGGATTCTGTCTCACAGAATGATTCCTTCCTTGCCTGATAGATGAAAGTTGTTGCCTCAATTCGTTGGTGCAATTCAGAACTAAAGGGATTATCAAAACATTTTCAGTTGAGAGGAAATCAAACAATAAAGCGAGCAAAAAGCTAAAATGTTTAAATATAGCTACCGAATCTAAAAGACTGCCCGCTCACAGCGGACACAATAAGAGTTATATGTGGAGTGAGCAGAAAGTGAAGAATCTAAACTCCATCCAGCCCAGTGCTCATCTCTATTGTATGTGGGGTGGTAAGTGTGGTGTGTGTGTGTGTGTGTGTCTGTGTGTGTGTGGACGTGTTTAACCAGAAGTCCCCACAAGAATAATAAACCAAGAGAAATTTGACCAACTGGGGACATTTTGTTGGTCCCCACTAGGTCAAATGCTATTTCTAGGGGGTTTAGGGTTAAGGTTAGAATTAGGTTTAGGGTTAGGAGCTAGGGTTAGTTTTAGGGTTAGGGTTAGGAGCAAGGTTTAGGGTTAGGGTAAGGGTAAGGGTACTGGTTAGGGTTAGGTTTAGGGTTAGGGGTTAGGTAAAATAGGATTTTGAATGGGACTGAATTGTATGTCCCCACAAGGTTAGCTGCGCAAGACTGTGTGTGTGTGTGTGTGTGGACGTGGGAGGAGGAATGTCCATTTGACTCCACTCAGTAACAGCAGATCAATGGTCGAGAAGAGGGCAGGGGGAGAGATATAAATAAATTGATTGTCTGAAATAAAACTCAAATTAAACAAACCAACAGCCTGGTGGCACTCATCCTCCTATTATCACTCCTCAGAGAGAGAGAGAGAGAGAGAGAGAGAGAGAGAGAGAGAGAGTGAGAGAGGAGAATGGGAGATGCGAGGACGGAGGGATGAGGAGATGAGAGGTGAGGCAGACGAGGATGGAAGCAGAGAGAGGAAGAAGGAGAGAGAGAGAGAGAGAGAGGGAGAGAAGGAGAGAGGAGGAGAGAGAGAGAGAGAGAGGATGGAGAGAGGAGGAGGAGAGAGAGAGAGAGAGAGAGAGAGACATACACACATATTTATTCTCCTATTACACTTGGAGAGAGAGCCGTGTCAGACGTTGGAAGGCCACATCCTCTGGCCGAGCGCACACACACACACACACACACACACACACACACTCACACACACACACACACACACACACTCACACGCACTCTAAGAGGAGGATACGTTTTAAAGGATAATGTGAGTGAACTAGATGGAGGATCAGAGGACCAGAGCAGCCAGCTCATTGATCCAACGCTTCCTAACATGAAAATAAATCTTAACTGTCATTGACAGTTCAGAGGTCAATTCCACCTGACGCCTTAACCCCCTAGCATTTGAAGTTAGTATGAACCCATCTTCTTCCTGCTTCATCGAACATACTCTCACTCTCCAATTACTGCGGGTGTAGCCCAAATCGCACCCTATTCCCTATAAAGTGCACTACTTTTGACCAAGGCCCTTGGTATGCACTTAGAACGGCTACCTCTGAAACATGAATACTTTAAGCGGGGTACTCTGCTCTCAAGCGGACAAAAGAGCAGCAAACAAAGGAGTTGCTTCTGCTGCACCATTCTCTGTCAAATATAACGCATTGCGGCGCTGCTCCACGCTGCCCCACGCTGCCCCACGCTGCTCCACGCTGCTCCACGCTGCCCCACGCTGCTCCACGCTGCCCCACGCTGCTCCACGCTGCCCCACGCTGCTCCACGCTGCCCCACGCTGCTCCACGCGGCTCCACGCTGCCCCACGCTGCCCCACGCTGCTCCACGCTGCCCCACGCTGCTCCACGCTGCTCCACGCTGCCCCACGCTGCCCCACGCTGCTCCACGCTGCCCCACGCTGCTCCACGCTGCTCCACGCTGCCTCACGCTGCCCCACGCTGCTCCACGCTGCTCCACGCTGCCCCACACTGCTCCACGCTGCCCCACGCTGCTCCACGCTGCCCCACGCTGGTCCACGCTGCCCCACGCTGCCCCACGCTGCCCCACGCTGCTGCACGCTGGCCCACGCTGCCCCACGCTGGTCCACGCTGCTCCACGCTGCCCCACGCTGCTCCACGCTGCCCCACGCTGCTCCACGCTGCCCCACGCTGCCCCACGCTGCTCTTTACATCAACCTTGTTCTGTTTCCTCTTTTACTAAACAACGTGTTAAGGTGTTTTTTGCTCATAGACCCACCAGATGAAGTTAAAGGACTAATGTTTCAACGTCCCCTAGAGAAGGTGTTCTTGCTCCTCTCATCTCTCCTCTATAGTGATAACATTTGTCCTCAGCTTCCTCTCCCGCCTGCTAATCCAATTGTTTTCCTGTTAAATTGCCTGTCATACATGTATAAAAGATTTGACCAGAAAAATCACTCCATCTTCAGAATCCCCCTCCCCCCAAAAAGAAAACAGACGAATAAATGGGAGGAGAGAGAGAGAGAGGGGGGGGGATCTTGCATAAATCGTTTTAGCAGTGAAAGGTTATTGACCTATTACTGTTGCACTATATACAGAGTATACAAAACATTAAGGATACCTGCTCCAGGTGAAAGTTATGATCCCTTATTGATGTCACTTGTTAAATCCACTTCAATCAGTGTAGATGAAGGGGAGGAGACAGGTTAAAGAAGGATTTTTAAGCATTGAGACAATTGAGACTTGGATTGTGTATGTGTGCCATTCAGAGGGTGAATGGGCAAGACAAAATATTTAAGTGCCTTTGAAAAGGGTATGGTAGTAGGTGCCAGGCGCACTGGTTTGTGTCAAGAACTGCAACACTGCTGGGTTTTTCGCGCTCAACAGTTTCCCGTATGTATCAAGAATGGTCCACCACCCAAAGGACATCCAACCAACTTGACACAACTGTGGGAAGCGTTGGAGTCAACATGGGCCAGCATCCCTGTGGAACGCTTTCGACATGCCTCGGCGAATTGAGGCTGTTCGCTTTCGACATGCCTCGACGAATTGAGGCAGTTCTGAGGGCATAAAGGGGGGAGGATGCAACTGTACATTAGGAAGGTGTTCTTAATGTTTTGTACACTCAGTGTTGTGCTATGCCAAATAACACAGATGCATTACTTTAATGGACCTGTCTCAGAGGTGAACTCAGTCTTGTGATTATTGGGTTGATGTGAAGAACAGTGGGAAGTTACATCTATTTCTGTCAGAGAAAAGGAAAAGTATTTTAACGGTACTGTGAAATTACTTTATATGTATTTATGGAGCTAATTAAGATTTATGTACCTCCACTGTTCTGGATTTTTCCAGTCTGTGATAACTGGAAAATACACAGTAAAAAAAAATCTAGTTGTATGAACTAAATATTCTTCCTGCAATGCCACCATGTCGGTGTCAATAACTGATTTCACCTGTATTGCTGCACTTTGCACTTCAAAGTAAATCTCAGCTCTGTTCAAATGTCACTCAAGAAAAATGATTTTATTTATCATAGTGATTAAGGAGTAACATTAAACATTAAACAGAAAAACCTACAATTGCTCAAATAAGAGAATAATCAATGATTAGAGAATAGTCAGATTAATTGATTATTAATACAGACGTGGTGGCATAGCAAGAAGTTCGGAATGCCATGAACCAAGAGGTTGTGAGTTCAAGTCCTAGATGAGGACTTGTTGAATAATAATTACTGCATAAATGAACATGCACAATGTATGTCAAAGTCCGTCAAATACGTCAGTTGAAATCATTGTATGTTATTAGTGCTGTGTGTGTAACTAGTTCCACACTGGTTTTTTTTTTTAGGTAAGATGCCAAAAATAATAATGTTAAGTTCAGGTAACACAATATTGAGTAAACTAAAAAAGGCTGTGGAACCAGTTAGTTAATAATAATTAGTGTACTGTGTATATACACAAACAAGTTGTGTCTCAAATTAGTATGAGTCAACACTAGCAACAGTTTACACAGTATATAAACCTCCCTTTCCTCCCGTGTGTGTGTGTGTGTGTGTGTGTGTGTGTGTGTGTAAGAGTGTGTGTGTGTGTGTGTGTGTGTGTGTGTGTAAGAGTGTGTGTGTGTGTGTGTGTGTGTAAGAGTGTGTGTGTGTGTGTGTGTGTGTGTGTGTGTGTGTAAGAGTGTGTGTGTGTGTGTGTGTGTGTGTGTGTGTGTGTGTGTGTGTGTGTGTGTGTGTGTGTGTGTGTGTGGTTTCGCTGACCCCTAAAACCCAGCGTGGTCTTGAGGTGTAGTAGGGTTCAGGTTCCATGGTGGTGTGATGATCACGGAGCCATAATAACATAATAACGCTATGATCATCACACACACACACACACACACACACACACACACACACACACACACACACACCACCACCACCACCACCATCACCATCACCACCATCACCACCACCATGGTGTCTCTGCATAACACCATGCTGTCAGAGAGACCTGTGATGATTAGGCCTAATAATGCAGTCTAATTGTGTTAGTCTGACAGATGGCCTCACATGAAGACACCTGACAACACTGCTGACATGGCTGTCAGTGTAGGTTAGTCTCTGCATGCAAGTGTTGCATGTACGTTCATTGCATAGCCAACGTGTATTACTGTAATGATCCTAAAACCTATGTATGCATGATATACAGTGGGGGAAAAAAGTATTTAGTCAGCCACCAATTATGCAAGTTCTCCCACTTAAAAAGATGAGAGAGGCCTGTAATTTTCATCATAGGTACACGTCAACTATGACAGACAAAATGACAAAAGAAAATCCAGAAAATCACATTGTAGGATTTTTGATGAATTTATTTGCAAATTATGGTGGAAAATAAGTATTTGGTCAATAACAAAAGTTTCTCAATACTTTGTTATATACCCTTTGTTGGCAATGACACAGGTCAAACGTTTCCTGTAAGTCTTCACACACTGTTGCTGGTATTTTGGCCCATTCCTCCATGCAGATCTCCTCTAGAGCAGTGATGTTTTAGGGCTGTCGCTGGGCAACACAGACTTTCAACTCCCTCCAAAGATTTTCTATGGGGTTGAGATCTGGAGACTGGCTAGGCCACTCCAGGACCTTGAAATGCTTCTTACGAAGCCACTCCTTCGTTGCCCGGGCGGTGTGTTTTGGATCATTGTCATGCTGAAAGACCCAACCACATTTCATCTTCAATGCCCTTGCTGATGGAAGGAGGTTTTCACTCAAAATCTCACGATACATGGCCCCATTCATTCTTTCCTTTACACGGATCAGTCGTCCTGGTCCCGTTGCAGAAAAACAGCCCCAAAGCATGATGTTTCCACCCCCATGCTTCACAGTAGGTATGGTGTTCTTTGGATGCAACTCAGCAATCTTTGTCCTCCAAACACGACGAGTTGAGTTTTTACCAAAAAGTTATATTTTGGTTTCATCTGACCATATGACATTCTCCCAATCCTCTTCTGGATCATCCAAATGCACTCTAGCAAACTTCAGACGGGCCTGGACATGTACTGGCTTAAGCAGGGGGACACGTATTGCACTGCAGGATTTGAGTCCCTGGCGGCATAGTGTGTTACTGATGGTAGGCTTTGTTACTTTGGTCCCAGCTCTCTGCAGGTCATTCACTAGGTCCCCCCGTGTGGTTCTGGGATTTTTGCTCACCGTTCTTGTGATCATTTTGACCCCACGGGGTGAGATCTTGCGTGGAGCCCCAGATCGAGGGAGATTATCAGTGGTCTTGTATGTCTTCCATTTCCTAATAATTGCTCCCACAGTTGATTTTTTCAAACCAAGCTGCTTACCTATTGCAGATTCAGTCTTCCCAGCCTGGTGCAGGTCTACAATTTTGTTTCTGGTGTCCTTTGACAGCTCTTTGGTCTTGGCCATAGTGGAGTTTGGAGTGTGACTGTTTGAGGTTGTGGACAGGTGTCTTTTATACTGATAACAAGTTCAAACAGGTGCCATTAATACAGGTAACGAGTGGAGGACAGGGGAGCTTCTTAAAGAAGAAGTTACAGGTCTGTGAGAGACAGAAATCTTGCTTGTTTGTAGGTGACCAAATACTTATTTTCCACCATAATTAGCAAATAAATTCATTAAAAATCCTACAATGTGATTTTCTGGAGAAAAAAAATCTCAATTTGTCTGTCATAGTTGACGTGTACCTATGATGAAAATTACAGGCCTCTCTCATCTTTTTAAGTGGGAGAACTTGCACAATTGGTGGCTGACTAAATACTTTTTTTCCCCCACTGTATATTGTCTGTCCAATGTAACCACATGCACTGTAATTACACTATAGCCTACCTACCTACGGTATACAACTGCTGTGCCTTCTATGTAACAACATGGTGTTTACATACCTCCTTGGTCATCTCACAGTCAAGCCCATCCATAGCAAACTTTCATTTAGATTCTGTGAGTTCACTGGCCTCCTCTCTCCCAGGGGACCACACACACACACACACACACACACACACACACACACACAGCGAACCACCCAGGGAATCCGAGCACCTGTTAAAAATCCACCAGCAACTCATTATCAGATCAAGAGCCATTCGTCAACATCTGTCTTATAATGGATTCACCCAGCACTCAATATACTTCCAGTTGTTTCACCTCTGATCAAGTCACCTTACAAATCGGCCCTCTGAGGCCCTCTGTTAATGAAGTAGGAGAAATAGATACATTGATTGAATGAATGGCTGTGTCCCACATGGCACCTTATATTCCCTATATAGTGCACTACTTTTGACCAGAACCCTATGACCAATCCCTATGGGCCCTTGTCAAAAGTAGTGCACTATATAGGGAATAGGGTGCAATTTGGGATACAATCATAGATTCATTAATTGAATGAGTGAATACATTACGGTCTGTATTGAGTAGTTGTAGTTGTTCCCAACTAGGGGTACTTGAGAAGACGTATGAGACCATAGGCCTACTGGTAAAATGTACATGAAGGGGTACTTCAGGCAGAGCAACGTTCAGCTGGTGGTACAGTAACAGAGAACGGTTGGGAACCACTGGAGTACTGTAGCGCCAGATGCCGCTCGCTGCACGAGACAAATAGCACCGTATCCCCTTTATAGTATTGGCCCTGATCAACAGTAGTGCGCTACTTAGGGGATAGGATGCCATTTGTGATGCAGTCATTGTATACATTAAAGGTCCAATGCAGCCATTTTAATTCAATATCAAATCATTTCTGGGTAACAACATGCGCTGTAATTACACTATAGCCTACCTACCTACAGTTTAATTGTGTTAGTCTGACAGATGGCCTCAAATGAAGACACCTGACAACAATTAACTACCTTCCTGTGATTGTTTTCAATTAAAATGGTCAAAAAAAGAAATAAAACATAGCTTGTAATCAAAGAGTAGTTTTTCAAGCAAGAATTTTGCTAGGACTGTCTGGAAGTTGTCTGAGTGAATACATGTGTGTGTGTGTGTGTGTTAGTTACCAGATCTCAACCCAGATCTCAACGCCTGAGACAGAGTTTTCCACCACAATCAACAAAACACCAAATTATGGAATTTCTTGTGGAAGAATGGTGTCGCATCCCTCCAACAGAGTTCCAGACACTTGTAAAATCCATGCCAAGGTGCATCGAAGTTGTTCTTGCGGCTCGTGGTTGGCCCAATGCCCTATTAAGAAACGTTATGTTGGTGTTTCCTTTACTTTGGCAGTTACCTGTACATACTATATGACATGAGAATGATAATTAATACTGTTCGTTAAAACCTTGATTCTGCATCTCCTTGACACTAACTCTCTTTCGCTCTCTCTTTATCCCCTCCTCTCTCTCCCCCCTCTTTTATCTCTCCCCCCTCTCTCTCTCCTTCTCCCTCTCCCTTCTCTCTATCTCTCTCCACAGGTGCAGGGACTGGAGAAGCATGTGGCCAAGGACAACACAGGACTAGACCTAGGTCCAGCAGGCTCAGTGATGAAGACCCTACCGTATGGCATGGGAGGGGGAGCCGTAGGCACCGCAGGGGGAGTCAAACCCCCTTACCAAACCACCTCCCGCATCTTCTCCACAGGCATGGACGGGGTCGGCAACCCGCCCATGAAACCCCCTCTGAAAACCCCCACCTACAGCTTCCTCAACCCTTACGACTGGGCCAGGAATCAGTCTCTTCTCCTGGACCAGACAGGCTATCGTAACAAACGCAAACCCTCACAGAAGACGGCCCAGAAGACCAAGAAGATCTTCGGCTGGGGGGATTTCTACTTCAATGTGAAGACCATGAAGTTCAGCGTCTTGGTCACCGGAAAGATCATTGACCACATCAACGGCACGTTCACCGTCTACTTCCGCCACAACTCGTCCAGTCTCGGTAACGTCTCCGTGAGTATCGTCCCTCCAACTAAAGTAGTGGAGTTCGAGGTTCTCCGACACCACCAGCCGGGCCTCCACGCCCAGCTCCACCCTGAGCTCCACACCCAGATCACTCAACAACAGACCCCGCACCAGTCCACCATCGACCCCAAGGAGGTAAAGACCTTCAACTGCCGGGTGGAGTATGAGAAGACCAACCGCTCCAAGAAGCCCAAGCCCTGTCTCTACGACCCGTCTCAGACGTGTTTCTCAGAGCACACTCAGTCCCACTCTGCCTGGCTCTGCGCCAAACCCTTCAAAGTCATCTGTATCTTCATCTCCTTCTTTAGCATCGATTATAAGCTGGTTCAGAAAGTGTGTCCGGACTACAACTTCCAGAGCGAACACCCTTACCTTGGATAAGAGAGGAGCGAAGAAAGGGAGGGGAGAAAGTCTTGAGCGTGTTTGTGGGGATCTGTTTAAGCAAAGGGCCAAATGCAGAATCACTCATCTTGATCTCTCGCTTGCTCAGAGAATGTGTAGTTATTTGGGATGCAAGGTGATTTGTAGATCAGTGATCCTGCGCAGTCCAATCTCGAACACGCACAATGTCAGGACCAATGACGACGGGGATAGCCTTTTTTCTGCTCTCAACCTCCCGTTGGATTGTGGATATTATTCAAATGAAGTACTGGTAGTCGACATCATAGATTATATAAATATGGCAGATTTTTTCGAACAATTTACGTAAAAACCTTTGTATTATTTGCCTTTGATTTGAATGTAAATAATGTTTAAAAAACATCTATACAGCTCTTACAAATTGGTTATTATCAGTGTTAATTCATTTTTGTCTGTTGGAGAAATCGATTAAAAACTTCAAAACAAGCTTGGAAGTATGGACGTTTGAGTTGATGACTTCATATCCTTCCTGTTGATATAAATGTGTCATGCTGTCCTTGTATAATCTCGGAACCCAGAATCTTGGAACCCGGAACCAAATGTAATATGCTTAACAGTCTGTCACAGGAGACTACTCTTTGTATGGCATTATTGGTTCTAGAAGGTTATCATGGTTTCAGTCTTACTTTTAGAATCCTGGATACAAGATCATTATTATGGAGTCCTGGAGTTATTTGGATACAATACGATATGATATTGTACACCGTACTGGGATTTATTTTCACATCCTATTATATTTTACATTCACTTAACACATTTATTAGACAATGTATGAGGCAAGAGCATTGTATGAGGCAAGAGCATTTTATGAGGCAAGAGCGTTGTATGAGGCATTATATAAGGAAATAAATATTCAACAAATTATCATATCTGATGAGGAATTTATTCAGCTGGGTAATATCAAAACATAACTATTCTATAGGATTTTTCTGTCCAATCAGAATATTGTACATGTATGTCCAAATAAATAAAGATTGTGGATACCCTTTTTGAGAATGTATGAATGTTTTAATTTTACATTAGGAGAGAAATTGAAAGAAATAAAGGAATCTTAAAGGAATCTTTAGTTTGACATCAGGATTTTCTTCATTCAGATTCAGTGTTTTTCTGTCTGTCTGTCTTTCTGTCTTTTTTTCTGTCTTTCTGTCTTTTTTTCTGTCTGTCTGTCTGTCTGTCTGTCTGTCTGTCTGTCTGTCTGTCTGTCTGTCTGTCTGTCTGTCTGTCTTTCTTCTTTCTTTCTTTCTTTCTTTCTTTCTTTCTTTCTTTCTTTCTTTCTTTCTTTCTTTCTTTCTTTCTTTCTTTCTCACCATTCCTATACCTCTATTCTTATACTATGTATCAATGTCGGCTCGCTGTCTCTGTCTTGCTACACGTTCAGGGAAATTGCCCAGCCTAGATTGGAGTCTGCAGATTTTCATTAAATAACCCAGTCCTAGTGCTTACTTGGATTGTACTCTATATCCTATTATGTTCTTGATCAATGACGTTCAGATGGAATGAAAGTCCCGGAGCTCTACTACACATGTATCTTCTGGATCCGCTCAGGACACACACACACACACACACACACACACACACACACACACACCCATGTATCTTGCGGTTCAGGACACAGAGATGTATGTAGTTCTACGTACCAGGAGACCACCTCTTTATCACATACTCACTGACTGTTGTGGTTGGGAAGTGTATCCATGTTATTAGTGAAACAGCGCCGGGAAGATGGCTGCCGTTTTACAGCCCTCTAACCAATTGTACTATTATGTGTGTTTTTCTGCGTTATTTGTAATTTATTTTGTACATAATGTTTCTGCCATCGTCTCTTATAACCAAAAAGAGCTTCTGGATATCAGGACAGCGATTACTCACCTCGCATTGGACGAAGATTTTTTCTTCAACGAGGCGGTCGCGAAGGATATCCTACAGACACCCGACAAGGCCCAGATCCCCGTCATTCGCGTGAGGAAGAGACGGAGATATCGCGGACGCAGATCCGGGTGCCTTGTAAGGATCCGACGGCGAGCGAGTAAACTGCCTCTCCCATCAATCCTACTAGCCAACGTTCAATCTTTTGAGAATAAAATGGACGAGTTAAGATTACGGTTATCCTACCAACGGGACATTAAAAACTGTAATATCTTATGTTTCACGGAGTCGTGGCTGAACGACAACAATGATAACATTCAGCTAGCAGGCTATACGCTACATCGGCAGGACAGAACGTCTGACTCTGGTAAGACAAGGGGCGGCGGTCTGTGTATATTTGTAAACAACAGCTGGTGCACAAAATCAAATACTAAGGAAGTCTCGAGGTTTTGCTCGCCTGAGGTAGAGTATCTTATGATAAGCTGTAGACCACACTATTTACCAAGAGAGTTTTCATCTATATTTTTCATAGCTGTCTATTTACCACCACAAACCAATGCTGGCATTAAGATTGCTCTGAATGAGTTGTACAAGGCCATTAATCAACAGGAAAACGCTCATCCAGATGCAGCGCTCCTAGTGGCCGGGGACTTTAATGCAGGGAAACTTAAATCCGTTCTACCTAATTTCTACCAGCATGTTAAATGTGCAACCAGAGGGAAAAAAACTATAGACCACCTTTACTCCACACACAGAGACGCATACAAAGCTCTCCCTCGCCCTCCATTTGGCAAATCTGACCATAACTCTATCCTCCTGATTCCTGCTTATAAGCAAAAACTGAAGCAGGAAGCACCAGTGATTCGGTTAATAAAAAAGTGGTCAGATGACGCAGATGCTAAGCTACAGGACTGTTTTGCTAGCACAGACTGGAACATGATCCGGGATTCTTCAGACAGCATTGAGGAGTACACCACATCAGTCACTGGCTTCATCAATAAGTGCATCGATGATGTCGTCCCCACAGTGACCGTACGTACATACCCCAACCAGAAGCCATGGATTACAGGAAACATCCGCACTGAGCTAAAGGGTAGAGCTGCCGCTTTCAAGGAACGGGACTCTAACCCGGACGCTTATAAGAAATCCCGCTATGACCTCCGACGAACCATCAAACAGGCAAAGAGTCAATACAGGTCTAAGATTGAATCATACTACACTGGCTCTGACGCTCGTCGGATGTGGCAGGGCTTGAAAACTATTACAGACTACAAAGGGAAGCACAGCCGCGAGCTGCCCAGTGACACAAGCCTACCAGACGAGCTAAACCACTTCTATGCTCGCTTCGAGGCAAGCAACACTGAAGCATGCATGAGAGCACCAGCTGTTCCGGATGACTATGTGATCACGCTCTCCGTAGCCGATGTGAGTAAGACTTTTAAGCAGGTCAACATTCACAAGGCCGCAGGGCCAGACGGATTACCAGGACGTGTACTCCGAGCATGTGCTGACCAACTGGCAAGTGTCTTCACTGACATTTTCAACATGTCCCTGACTGAGTCTGTAATACCAACATGTTTCAAGCAGACCACCATAGTCCCCGTGCCCAAGAACTCTAAGATAACCTGCCTAAATGACTACCGACCCGTAGCACTGACGTCTGTAGCCATGAAGTGCTTTGAAAGACTGGTCATGGCTCACATCAACAGCATAATCCCAGAAACCCTAGACCCACTCCAATTTGCATACCGCCCCAACAGATCCACAGATGATGCAATCTCTATCGCACTCCACACTGCCCTTTCCCACCTGGACAAGAGGAACACCTACGTGAGAATGCTATTCATTGACTACAGCTCAGCATTCAACACCATAGTGCCCTCTAAGCTCATCACTAAGCTAAGGATCCTGGGACTAAACACCTCCCTCTGCAACTGGATCCTGGACTTCCTGACGGGCCGCCCCCAGGTGGTAAGGGTAGGTAACAACACATCTGCCACACTGATCCTCAACACGGGGGCCCCTCAGGGGTGCGTGCTCAGTCCCCTCCTGTACTCTCTGTTCACCCATGACTGCATGGCCAGGCACGACTCCAACACCATCATTAAGTTTGCCGACGACACAACAGTGGTAGGCCTGATCACCGACAACGATGAGACAGCCTATAGGGAGGAGGTCAGAGATCTGGCCGTGTGGTGCCAGGACAACAACCTCTCCCTCAACGTGACCAAGACAAAGGAGATGATTGTGGACTACAGGAAAAAAAAGAGGACTGAGCACGCCCCCATTCTCATCGACGGGGCTGTAGTGGAACAGGTTGAGAGCTTCAAGTTCCTTGGTGTCCACATCACCAACGAACTATCATGGTCCAAACACACCAAGACAGTCGTGAAGAGGGCACGACAAAGCCTATTCCCCCTCAGGAGACTAAAAAGATTTGGCATGGGTCCTCAGATCCTCAAAAAATTCTACAGCTGCACCATCGAGAGCATCCTGACTGGTTGCATCACCGCCTGGTATGGCAACTGCTTGGCCTCTGACCGCAAGGCACTACAGAGGGTAGTGCGTACGGCCCAGTACATCACTGGGGCAAAGCTCCCTGCCATTCAGGACCTCTATACCAGGCGGTGTCAGAGGAAGGCCCTCAAAATTGTCAAAGACTCCAGCCACCCTAGTCATAGACTGTTCTCTCTGCTACCGCACGGCAAGCGGTACCGGAGTGCCAAGTCTAGGTCCAAAAGACTTCTCAACAGCTTCTACCCCCAAGCCATAAGACTCCTGAACAGCTAATCATGGCTACCCGGACTATTTGCACTGCCCCCCCACCCCATCCTTTTTACGCTGCTGCTACTCTGTTAAGTATTTATGCATAGTCACTTTAACTCTACCCACATGTACATATTACCTCAACTACCTCAACTAGCCGGTGCCCCCGCACATTGACTCTGCAACGGTACCCCCCTGTATATATAGCCTCCCTACTGTCACTTTATTTTACTGTATATATAGCCTCCCTACTGTCACTTTATTTTACTTCTGCTCTTTTTTTCTCAACACTTTTTTTGTTGTTGTTTTATTCTTACTTTTTTTGTTTAAAATAAATGCACTGTTGGTTAAGGGCTGTAAGTAAGCATTTCACTGTAATGTCTGCACCTGTTGTATTCGGCGCATGTGACCAATAAAATTTGATTTGATTTGATTTGATTTGATTTGATCCATGCTATGATAAATCTCCTTGACACCGCGACTCTGTCTCTCTTTCTCTCTTTCTCTCTCTCTTTCTCTCTCTCTCTCTCTCTCTCTCTCTCTCTCTCTCTCTCTCTCTCTCTCTCTCTCTCACTCCCCCACCCCCTATCTCT